AAAATAGAACATCGAAATATTTGTTTGCTTGATTCTTTGTTTTTGTTTTTATTTAATTAAAACACATTATGTTAGAAAAAAAACATTCTTAACGATTAAGTGCTAGAAGCCGCTTGTTTTTCAAAGAATTTCTAAAATAGAAATAAAAATCAATAACAATTTTGATTAAATAAAAATCTAAATTTACTTTTAATGGTGAAAATTCATTAACAAAACTAAGACCAATACTTCGAAGTGCAACAACAGGTGAAAAGTTTGTTGAATAAAGACGATTCAATGAATCTATAGATAATAATCTTGTTAAACATTGTAATTGTCGTTGACGTTCATAATCAACAAGATATATCAAAGAACCTATAAACAAAATTTTAGAAGATTAAATAAGAAAAAAAAAATACATACTAAAATCAGCACCATCTCGAACAGCTTGTTCAAGTATATTAAAAAGACATAATACATCACAAAAACCCATATTTACTCCTTGACCAGCCATTGGATGAATACGATGAGCAGAGTCTCTAAAAGCAAAGTTTTAGTGTTCTTTTTTTGTTTTAAGTTTAATTAATTAAATCTTACCCGATAAGTACTAAACGAGGACGAACATATTGATTAGCATTGAGAAGCTAAATATTTCCAATAATATTACATAATTAACTAACAAATCTTTTTTTTTTTTCGGTTTTTTTACTGTTAATGGAAATGCCGCTCGTGATCTTGGTTCAACATTGATTATAACTGGTGGATATTGCAATACTGTTGGTGAAGCTATTTCAAAAGTTGACATCAATAATAATATAAAAGATGAATGAGAATAAGAAAAAATATCTCGAAAATAATAATAACTGTTTCAAAAGCAATCATCTACACAAAAACATTCAAGATCTATGTAAAATTATTAATAGATTTAGCAAATATTTGACTCAATATGAGAAAACAACATGAATCGAGCGATGTTTCATTTATTCACTACTACTATTCTCGACATATTCATTTCATATATACAGTACTGATCAGAAAAAAAAATAAGACCAACGTATGCTTGATTTTTTTCTATGATGCCAAGCATTTAATTCAAATTCAAAGAGTGATTTGAACAAGTAATGAAATTTTCCATCAAATGCATTTCATACTGAAGTTTCATAGATAGACTATGAGAGGAAGTTTTCTTAAAAAAACCAAACATGATAGTTTTTCGGTCTCATACGACTGTGTAAAAATTAGCTTTTAAGAGTACTATGTTAAAGAGCATAATATTCTGAATAAAATATGGGATCACCGCAATGCTTACAATGTTCTCTTAAAAATTTATAAGCATTGCAAAATAACAAAATGTGATTTTTAGTAATGCTATGATAAATTTCGTTTTGTTATGCTTATAACTTTATAAGAGAAGGTCGTAAGAAATGCAGTGACTCCATATTTTATTCAGGATTTCGTGCTTTCTAACCTGGTACTCTTAAAAACTTATTTTCAAATCGTCTTCTGGGATCTGAAAACTATTTAGAAATCGGTCTCTCACAGTCTATTTATGAACTTTCAGTATGAAATGCATTTGATAGACAATTTCATTTGCTATTCAGACTACTGTTTGAATTTGAGTTAAATGCTTAATGTCGTAGAAAAAGAATTAAAAATACGCTAACCTTATATTTTTTATCAATACTGTACGTTTCTTTAACTCTAACATCGATTTCTTGTAAAAATACCTGGTATTACTTGTTGCCAATATGATCGAATACGTTCTGTTATTGAAATAACTCCATTATGTTTATAAGTATCAGATGTCTAAATTAAATTAGATTAGATAAAAGTTAAACATTTCGATTTTTTTTCTTTTTCATTCTCTTACAAATGCTTTATTAATTGCATCAACAAACTGTTCATCTGATAGTTTCATTATTTCTTTATGCATAGATTTTGGTACAGTCCATACAAGTGAACTATGTGTATTGCTTAACTAAGAACATAAATAGATCAATAATTTTAATATATCATTTCGAATATTTTTACTGGTAAACAAGCAATTGGTCCTGTAGGTAAAAATCGTTGCCAAGCAACAACATTATCTGGCATCTAAATCTTTCAAATAATAAAAGATGTTTTTTTTAATTCAAAATAAACAAACATTATCGGCTAATTGAAGTGTAGCAACAATACCAAATTGATTATAATCCCATTGCATTGTTGAAATACGTGCCATTTCTCGAATACTTGATTGATAACCATCAGCTGCAATCTAATAAAAGAATAAAATAAAAATTCTTAATCAATATAGAAATAAAAAGATGAATCTTTAAAAACATACTAATAATCTTGTTCGAAGATTAATTTTTTCATCTTGTAATTTAATTCGAATAGAGTTTTCTTCATATTCAAAATGTTTAACTTTTGAATTGAGTCTTGGTTCAACATGAAATTGTTTTAATCGTTCAAGTAAACAAGATTGTATAACATCATTTTCAACTATATAAGCAAGAGAATTATTTTCAGATTGATGTCCTTGATCAAATGCTATAACTGATTCTGAACAAGCATCCCAGACCAATACAAAAGATAAAAAAAATAAATTACTTTTTTTTCCAGAAATGAAATTTTACCTGCATTCGAGCTACTTTTTGAACACGTATAGATTTCATTAAATCCCATGCTCCAAGTTCTCAAAAAAAAAAACAAAATAAATGATTTTATTTTTAATATTCAAATGAAATCATACTTTCAAATAAACTTATTGATTGAGCATTAAGAGCAAAAACACGATTACTATATGGTTTATTTTTAGAAACTTGTGGAAGCTTCGATTGAGATTCCAAAAGAACTATTTTATGATTTTTAAATACAGGAGATGAAGCTAAAAGAAATATATAAAAAATAAATGAAAATAAAAATAAATATAATCTTACCAAAAGCAAGTGCCATAGCACTTCCAACTAGTCCACCACCAGCAATTGTAATATCGACATTTTCTGCGAGTGCAGGTGAATTTGGTTCATCATGAGAAATTGTTGCTTGAGGTGATACCGAATACGAAGAAAATCGTACAGATATTAATGAACGACGTAATAATAACAATTGTCTCATCTACGTGCAATCACTTAACAAAAGTACAGATTAAAATGAAAAAGAAAAAAAGCCACAACTGTTATCAAACGAAATAAAAATTTATTCTCCAATAGGATAAACCGATACTAGAGACATCATCCTTGTAACTTGTGTATTTTTTTCAACCAATCCTGAGAGGCTTATTCAATATACCATAATTACATCAGTTGTTTGTTATGATAGCTATAATTTCGATATTTTTATCATATGTATTTTTTCCTTCATTGTCAATCATTAAAACTAAATAAAGATTTCACAATCATATATTTTCTCGTATTTTAGATTGATTTATAACAAAACAAAAAACAATGCAATTAACGTGCCGTTTTTACAAAAACCATTTCCCTGAAACCGAGGACCTTGTTATGGTTAATGTTACCGAGATCGAAGAAATGGGTGTCTATGTGAATCTACTTGAATATAATAATAGACAAGGTTCAATTCTTTTCTTTTTTTCTTTTCTTTTAATTTAAATTTTATGTTTTTGATTAGGTATGATTTTATTAACTGAATTATCACGTCGTCGTATTCGTTCAATAAATAAATTAATTCGTGTTGGTCGAAATGAAGTTGTTGTTGTTGTTCGTGTCGATCGTGATAAAGGTTTATTGAAATCAAATAAAACCAAAAGAAAAAAATGAAAATTTTAAATGACAATTTCTATTTTAGGTTATATTGATTTATCGAAACGTCGTGTATCACCAGAAGATATTAATAAATGTGAAGAAAAATTTGTTCGTGGAAAAACAGTATGTTTTATAAATAAAACTTCTTGAAAACTTTGATTTTTATAGGTGAATAGTATTCTTCGTCATACAGCTGAAGTATTAGGAATAAAAACTAATGAAGAATTTGAAGAATTATATGAAAAAACAGCTTGGTATTATGATGAAAAATATAAACGACCAGGTGCAGCTTATGATGTATTTGTACGAGCTGTTAGGTAAATATTATAGAAGACAAAAAACAAAAATTGAATATGTCTTGTTTTATTTTTGTTTCCAGTGATGAACATGAACTTGTTGATTGTCAAGTAGATGAAAATACAAAAAAAATTTTAATTAATAATATTCGACGTCGTCTTACTCCTCAAGCTGTTAAATGTCGAGCTGGTAGATATTTTATTTTATTTTTTGTTCTAATTTTCTATTTTAATAATATTTAGATGTTGAAGTTGCATGTTATGGTTATGAAGGTGTCGATGCAGTTAAAGCTGCATTAAGAGAAGGTCTTAGTGCATCAACAGAAGAAATGCCAGTTAAAGTAAATATTTAAATTTTTATTTAAATAATAATAATAATAATACAAAAACAAAATTTTTAATTGTTTGTTTTTTACTTAAGATTAACCTTATTGCTCCACCACTTTATGTTGTTACAGCAACATGTCTTGATCGAAATGATGGTCTTAATGCATTAAGAAATGTTATTGATAAGATTAAACAAGGTATTGATCAATATCGTGGAATATTTAAAATTAAAATGGAACCTAAAGTCGTAACTGATATTGATGATGCTGCACTTCAAGTAAATTTATATGAATCAATTAAATAATATTTATCTTTATTATTTTGTTTTTTTTTTCCATTTTTAGGAAGCTATGTTGGATGCAGCTATTGAAAATACTGAAAGACCTGGTGATGATAATGAAGATTCGGATGAAGATGAAGGTAAGTTTTGAAAAATTTTTAAGATAATATTGATTGAATTTAATATTTTTAGATGGTGGCATTAAAGGTAAATTACCTGGTGAAGATGAAGATGAATCAACAGCAGTTGGAGGAGCAGTCAAGGAATCGAAAACAGCATCACAACGAAATGCAGCAAATGGCGATGACGATGAAGATGATGATGATGAAGATCAAGATTAAAATTAAATTAAAAAAAAAAACTTTTTATTTGTTATTCTTTTTTTTTTCTTCTTTCATGTTTGAAAAAAAAACCAGATGATACAATGAATGGTGATTGCAAAAGATATAAAGCTTGAATATATGCTCGTTTCTCATTATCATCGATAATTGTTCGTCTTAAATATAATTCAAGACGATAGAAGAATTGTTTAGCTATTGGATTTGTTAAATCAAGATTTTCATTATTAATTAATTTTAACCATGTAAATTTTTCTTTATCCAATGAGATAAGTATTAAATAACTAACGTCAATTACACGAGCAAGTGTTTGAATAGATTCATTAAGTATGAATAAACGTTCTTCAGCAAGACAAGCTCGTTGTTCAATATGATCACATTGTTCTGTTCCACGATGAAGACGTTCTATTAGACAATCGATTTTTCTAGTAAATTCATTCATTGAATAATGATTGGCGCGTATCTTGGTAAATGTTTACTTGCTACTTCTAGTATCCTGACAAATAGAATTAATGGTGAGATAATATAATGTCGTGATAATAAGCATTCTACGAAACGGAAAAAAGATAGATAGTTGGTTGTGGTATCTATACCATTTTTTTCTCTGTTCTCCGAAGGGAATAGAACTAACAAGAAAAAAAAATGACATGTATATTCTAGTTGTAATTGTGTGCAGGCGAGACAAATGTGATTAAAACAATTGAAATAGTAAAAATAGCAACAAAATTGATTCTAAAAATAATATTCTATTTCATCTTCTAATGTTACCCATTCTTACATAATGAAATTACTTTTCTTGTTGTCCTAGAAGATGTATAATATTTACAATATGTAAGCATAATAAAAAAATCTAATGTGGAAATTCATTTAGGAATATTCCATTTATCAATCAAACTAATGTGTAATAATGATTATAAATTTTCCTTACATATATTGAAATATTCTTGAACGAAAATTTGTTTATAATATGATTGAAAGCTTATAGGAAAAAAAATTCTTTTCACTATATAGAATAATTTTGATTTATGTGAAAATTTTACTCACTTGAAATCTCTATGTATTTATTTACGAGAAAGTTTTTAACATTTTATTCACATAATAATTATTTCTTTTATGTTAATAATAAATTCAAGATGATAAATGATTTTCATCGTTATTATAACTCATTGTCTTATTTATCCACATCTTTGTTAACTTGTGAAACTAGCTAATTGGAAAACAAGTTTTATTACATGAATGATAATTAATGTATGTCCTAGAGTTGATTCATATTATAAACATTGATCGGCATTCATAAAATCAACCTTAAGAATCATGGAAACATAAACAAAACAACATATAATTTTGCAATCTTTTCGTATTGTATATTCTATCATATATATTATAACATATTTCTGATGCTCAGATTAATTAATTTGTAATTACAGTCTGCAATGATTTTTTCTTATTAATTTTTTTGCTGTATTACACTTGTTAATGTTTCTTTAAAATAATTACTTTCCATTGTTAACTTTGTTTTGTAAAACACAGTGTAAACGAAGTGTTAAAGTATGAAACGAAATTTTCAGACAGTCTTCCTCCTATCAACTGTGAACGACGCCTAATACCTATTTTGCATAATAATAGCGAGACTTCTTAATATATGAATTAATTTTTGATTATTTTCATGAAGAATTAAATCAAAAAATAAAAAGAATAGTGTGAATATACGCAGCACAATGGATAGAATTAAATAATCCTCCTATGATTAGCACTAGTAATTAAATTATGTTTCACATTTTAATACCACATGATTGCGCTAAGATCTTTATTTAAAAAAAAAAACAAATAAAAATTCAAAAATTAATTGAATAAGATAACAGTGAATTTGCGTTTTGAAAAAATGAAATTGTATAAAAATGAGCGTCATTGTTAGTGTTAAAAATAAATATAAATATATCTTTGTTAGTTCAGAATAAAAAAACGAATTAAAACAATAAAATATTTATTAGATCACATTTAATAAGAAAAAAAAAAAGATTTATATCGACAAGTATCACTGATTTTGTTTTTCATCATTATTTTTATTTTATTGAGGCATTACTTCTTGATTATTTATATTTTCTGGCTGCTCCTGTTGATTATTATCTTGAACATTTGTATTATCATTATCTACATCTTTATTAGATATCTCTTCATCATTATTTTTCTTTTGTTCAGAATTATGTGTATCAAGATTTGTTTCATCGTTATTCATATTTTCGTTCTCAACTTGGTCATTACTAATTTTTTCATTTCTATCTGCATTTTGTTCAGAACCTTGTTGATTATTCGTATCTTCATTAGATATTGGTTGATTCCTGTTATCAATTTCAGTTTCATCATTTTTTATCTCTTTTTTCCGTTCTTGTTCATTAAGTGCATCAATTTTAGCTTCATCATCTTCTTCTTCTTCTTCAACTCTATTATCATTATTTACTTGTGGTTCTTCTTCAACTTTATTGTCATTATTTACTTGTGGTTCTTCTTGAATTATTTGATTAGATTGTTTTGATTGACCTTCTTCCAATGAATCATCGTCCTGTGGTTGCATACATCTTTCATATTGTATACCAAGTGTTTCAACAAGTGGTTTATAAAGCAGACATTTCCATTTTTGTTGTTCAAGTTCGAAATATAATTTAATATTAATTCCATTGAGAAATCGTGTTTTACAAATAATATTTGATACTTTTGATTGTAAAACAGTAATATCTTCACCAAGATTCATATGCTTAAGAGATTTTTCCAAACATTCGTCTATAAGTGTCTGATCATTTGTTCTAATCCACCTAACAGTATATCGTCCATAAGAATAATCAGCTATTAAAACAAGAAGAAGAAAATTCCAAATAATATTCATTTTCTTTTTATCTAGAAAATGAATAAATGAAATAATGATTTATTATTTACAACTAATAATTCTCCTTTGCTTTAGTTATCAATAACAAAAACAAACAACAACAAATAATGTCCTTATGAAAAGGACGATACAACTTCGCTATACATCATAAAAAAAATACCCAACTTCTGTCAATTTATGATTGTCGATCACGTTTTTTTATCGTTGACGTTTGCGACGAAAGTGCTCGACGTTTTCGTTCCTATACATTATATAAAAACATTAAATCAATATTGCACGTTACTAAGAATTTATGTTAACGTCCAATCATCGTTCGAATGAAGCTTCCGAATCAAATCTTCGATTTCTTTTTTTCATTCATAAATGACGAAGGTAGGATCATATTTCCGTCGTTTATATATTAATATTTTACATATAGTGAAAAGTATGAAATACACTACATCTTAATAAAATATTTACCTTGAATGACAAAAGAAAATTTACTTCAACAACTATTCGTGATTAATCTATTTCTATGAATCAATGTATATATTTATCTAGTATTGAATTTATTCTTTATTGAGATAGAAGAAAAAAACTATTTAAATGTTACTAACGGTTGCTTCAGAAATCATGGAATCTTTCATAGATTGTCAGTATCTCGCTAAACTTTAACTATGAAGAGTTGAGCTTAGGCTAAAAAAAATGATTCTTCGTTGAAATATATACAAGATCTATAGCAAACATTTTTCAATAAAAAAGAAAACAGAAATACAAAACCAAGAGCACTTAACATGTAAAAAAACGAATCATTTTTTACGCTAAAAGATATTTCTATTTTTTTTCTTTTAGATTTTTTCATTGGCCAATAATTATGAAAATAAAGATAATATAGGTATGTTGTAGCTATTGAAAAACTCGATCTATCAATCATAATTGAAAAACTCTCACGTTCGTCTTTGCGACATACGCTAATTATTTTTGCTTTAGGATTTTTTGAAAATTTAGTTTTTTTTTCAGTTTGTAATCTTTTTAGCTCGTAGGAAAAGAAATGTAACTAACCGGAAAAGTTCTTCAACTGACTAGTCGGTTTTGACTCGATACTATGCGCATCATGTAGATCGTAATAAGCTCCGAATACTTCGAAAAGAGTTCGGATCCTAAGCTTGTTACTGCGGAAACACTACATTTTTATGGTATATTTTTAAGTCAATGCTCCGAAATCCCTCAGACACATTACGAAAATTCATTTTCGAAGCACATTTTTTGAACAGAGGAAGGACTTAATGAGAATACTGTGTTTTGTGAAAGCTTCAGACCATTTCGTTATTCCTATCCTAAAATTTGACTATGGTAAAGCGTGTCTGCTACATCAATCATACATAGTAGCAGATCCGATGTTCTTATTTTAGTATAGAAGTATATCAAAAAAAAACTTTTACAATCAACTGTTTTTATTAAGATATGTCTATATGCAAAGCTTCAATTCGAAAATTGATTTCCCGGGTTTTGCTCCAAGCGACCACGGAATTGACTTGAAAAATAGTGTTAATAATTCAGTATTTATGCAACAATTAGCTAAGGACTCAAACACGTCTCAGAATATTAAGAGCATATTGGAATTAGCATGATATACATAATCACGACTTAAAAGTGATTAACCAATGGAGATGAGGGACTTCTCTCGTACGTTAAAATTGTATCTTTTGAGTTCGAATTTGTTTTATTTCGCTGTAAGATGATGGCTATATCAGATTCAGCGGCGAAAGCTCATCTAAAATTTTTTACTGGAATTTAACTGCTTAAAAATTTAGGTTTTAGACATTTTTTTGAATTAATATGACAACGAAAAAAAGAATTCGATTGATTGGACGTTAATATATATATTCCTATTGCAAATCATGACAAAAATCTTACACTAGTACTTGAACGAACATTATTAGTTGGTTCAAATGAATCAGATAATCTAGGTGATGTTATATTATCAGTTGGTGTACTTGGTTGTGATAATAAGAAATCAAATTGCTAGAAGCAAAAAGCAAACGAAAATATGAGTTAAGTTTTATTTTCCTTTAGCAAATTATTTACTGTTCTTGAAGCATCATTTGATGAAGTATTACTAGCACTTAATGGTTGTGTTGATAAAATTCCAACATTTGTTGATCCATTTTCACTTTTTAAACGATGTAATGATGTTTGTAATTCATATTCAGCTGAATTTAATGCATTTTTAAGATCAAATAAGAGAATAATATCCGAACGTAAATCATTAAATTCATCAACAATTTCTTCGCATGCCATTGGATTTCTTTCTAAAATAAAAATTTTAATTTTTTTTTTTAAATTAAACTTCATAAAAAAAATTAACAAATCCATACCTAATTGACATTGTTTAAGAACTTGATCAATAACAGCTAATTTTTTATTTGGTATTGATGTTGGTAATATCATCTATAATGACTAATAAATAATAATTTACTTTGATTTATTTGAAAACTTACACGTTGACTACGTAGAAAAACACCGGGACGTTTAAATTCAGGGAATTTAATTCCAACTGGTGGGTCACATGTTGTCTAAAAAAGACAAAGAACAAATTAAATTCATCGAAATTGTCAGCTTTTTTTTTTCGTTTTCTTTTACAATTCTTTGTGTTGTTGATGTTCGATTTGATGTACTATTAAGACGTTGAAGATAATCTTGATTAATTGATGATCGTCGTGATGATGATGAAGTTGTACGTTGTATGGAATTATTTGTTGTTAAAATATTTTGATCTTGTTGTTGAACAAATTTTTGAACATCTTGTGAAATAATACGTTCACGTTCTTTACGTTCATTTTCAATACGTTTTAATTCATTCATTAAATATAATTCTTCTTCTTCCTAAAAAAAAAATTAAAGTTTTAGTCTTTCTTTCATGAAGCACAATCGAAAAGGGATGTTTTCAGAAGTCTGCTGTAGGATTAATATGAGGCATGACAGAATTTAAGATAGTTGTTTGTTTCCTTTCTTTCTCATTCACTGTAATATATTACGATTAACGTCGTTTATCATCGACATACATTAACAGCAAGTAATAACTCACAAACCGAAACATAAAGTAGTGAAAAAATGTCTTCACCTTACCTAATCTCAACTACTATTAGTGTTAGAAGTCTGAAAATTTCTGTGGATGCACTACATCAAGAGTATAGGTCAGCAACAAAATTGTACTTCGATTGAGTAAGAAGAAAGAAAATTATTATGAATAATACCTTTTCATTGCATTGAGCTTTTGACCTTGACAAAAGACTATCCACTAAATTTTGTGATGCTTTCTACCAGCTACAGAACAAATTCTTTATATTTTTACATAGAATTAGAATTCCATTGAAGCTCTTCTTTTATCTAAAATACGAATAGATTTACTCGAATAACGGTGTTTCTGATGACTCTATATCATTAACACGATAGTCATAATTTTGTTATTTTCCTTGAGTACAAGGTTTGTTTCTGAAGGTTATGAACATTAATATTGAAGTACAGAAGAGGCTTTTCAAAGAGTTTGAGTTCTATTTACTGAACTATTACTTAGTTCTGATCTCAAAGGTAGAGCCTATCGAGTACAACATTTTCGGATTCGATTTAACGAAAAATATTTAGTCTTGAACTTAGATTTATAATCTAACTCAACGAACTCTATTCAAAGGACAACAGATGATTTTTTTCTCCAGATAATTGATCAGAGACAAACGTTTGCAGTTCTAGAAAAGATTCGCAAACTTTCATGGAATTAATTGCATAGATAACTGCAACATAGCTCGAGACAATCAGCTGTCAGCAATCCACAAAACTCTTGCTTTCAAGAATTGCAAAGTTCAAAGAAGCAATAGATATTATCCATCGTTACCCTTGATAATTCTTTTCATTCTTACACAATCGTGGTAGACATTTGTTGCTAATTTACTTTCTTGACAGAGTAGGTTTATACAAGTTTCTAGATTTCTAACACTAAGATTAGATAGAGTTGAGTCTATTGTCCATTTCTATATATTAGTAAAGTTCGTCATTTACAATGTAGATGATTACATTGTGTTTTATACTTTAATCCGACAGAGATTGTGCTAACAGGTTTTTCTTTGTTTATTGAAAAATTATTTAATTATTTTCTTACTTCAGCTTTTGTACGACTTAATAATTTATTTAATTGTTCCTTCCGTCGACGTTCATGAGCAGCATCAAAATTATATTTATCAGTATGACGTTTTGTTCGAGCCTATTTTTAATTTATAATTAATAAATCAGAAGAAAAAGCAACAATTTTTTGTTTTTGTTTTATTAAATTCTTACATATTCAAGAGCTGTACATATTGTATAATATCTTTCTTTTAAATCTTCAACAGATCTATCAGGATATAAAATATTATTCCATCTATCATGAATAATTAAAAATTTTAATTCAAATCTTCTACATAAATCAAATAAAACATCGGTTTCAGTTCGAGTCCAATCTTTATCTTGTAAATATTGTTCATATTCACTATCTGTATATGTTGGAACATCAACATGCTAATTATTTTCAAAAACAAAAAGAGAAAATTTTAATAGAAATAAAAATTCTGTTTTTTTTTGTTCGTCTTCTTCTTTTTTTTTTTACTTTATTAAATTTTGCAAATGAATATTCTTGTGATGGATCATCAGGATTTGGTTTATGTTGCCAATGATAAAGAATAAATGTATCATTAGAACCACGTGCAGAATTGGTAAATGGTGTCCATTGCCATGAACGAACTTTCATTGCAGAATGTTTTATCCATCTAGCATAAGAATTACCACCAGATTTTGTATCTGTTGGAACTATTGGTACACTTTCACTGAATATTTACAGAAGAAAAAATTTTATTTTTAGAAGATTTTCATTTTGATTTATTTACCGATCATCTTGTGCGATTAAACTCCATACTTCACGTTTCATACCTTCTGGTCGACGAATACTTTTTTTTGGACCTTTTTTCTAATTGAAAAATAAAATAATAATA